AGGACCCCCAGTGTGGGGCCTTGCACTGCCCGTCAGGGCACAGGAACCCACAGCAGGAGGGATCAGAGAGCCCGATGGAAATGCAGCTCCCAGCACCAGGTTAGGAGGGATGTTAGATTACAAATGAAAGGCTTGTGTAGACTTTCAACTTCACTCTGCCTTCATAAAGGTGTCAGCTGGAATTATTTTGGGCATTTACTTGCGTGGTCTAGTGCATCACTAGCTAAAACAGTTTTTTTAAATAATGGGATTTGATGCTTGGCTCATGCATAAAAAATAGCAAGAACACGACCCAGTTGCATAATTTTTAAGTAATAAATAGAGTCAAAAGTGTTTAGCTCAGCTGCTGGCACGGTGCGAGCACCCTGCGCACAGGCACGCAGGGCAGGCAGCCCCAGGCAGCAGCAGCAGGAGCAGGAGCAGCAGGAGCAGGAGCAGAGCCTCCTGGACTCATACACTCCTATGACCGAGCCCTTGGCCGGCACAGCAGCGGAGCAGCACCACCAGCTGCAGGTGAGGCCGTGAGAGGCTCCTGAGCCTTGCCCCAGCAGCTGCTGCCCGCCTGCATGGCCTGGCCCCACGGGCACCAGGGGCACAGTGGCTCCAGCTGGGCTTGCAGCAAGCATGAGCCCCCCCCCCCCCAGGGACCAGGGCTGTGCTGCTCTGTAACCACTTGCAAAGTGACTCCTGCTCCTGTGGCTCAGTGCTCCCCAAGGCCACGTCCATTTCATAGCCTTATTGCACACAACACGAGCTCTCCTCGTCCTGCGCCTGCCTCCCTGTGCAGGGGCTCAGCCAAAGACAACCCGGGATTCCCTGCGAGTCCTCTGCCAACCGTGCAGGTTCACAGCAATTCCTGCTGCCCGTGATGGGCCTGGAGGTGGGTGCAGGAGGTGGCGCCATCAAAGCCATCCCCTGCCTTGACCCCAGAGCAGGGCTGGGCTGGGGGTACAGTGGGACCCCCCCATGCCACGGCCACCGACCTCGACCTGGCTGCAGGAGCCTGGTGGGCGCTGCTGGTGCCACCTCCGCATGGGGCACAGGGCACGGGGCAGGCTGGCCGTGAGCTGCCCCTGGCACGAGTGTGGTGGCCGGGGGTGCGCTGCCCAAGGTGCGGGGCAGGGACGGGGGGGCTCTCCTCCCGCACAGCTGCAGCTTTGTTTTATTTTTGTTTTGATTGATGCCAGTTGACATACGGAGAATTCCCCACAGCGGGCAGTCACTCACCCGGCTGGTTATGGGCTCTGACTTCTTTCTCTAATTAAAACTCTCCCTCCCCTTTTAATTCCTTTGCCCCCGAACTGCCTGTTCTGGATCATCTCCTAACGCGACACTAAGCGGCTGTGACAGGCAGCAGGGGATGCCCCACACAGCACCGGACGGGCCCCACACCTCGGAGCGTGGGCACCCAGACCCCGTGCCCTGGGGTTGGGGTGCGTGGGGACACCCCCACTGCTCGTCCCTGCTCCCCCGTGGGCCACCCCACGCAGAGGCCGGCTGGGGCCCCCACACCAGCCAGGTGTGCCCCAGGGCAAAGCAATTCCCAAAACCCAGGCACGGGGAGCAGCCAACTCACAGCGGGTCTCTACGTGCAGCCCGCTGCTCCTGCTGCTGCCCGCCCGGGGGGGCACAGAGCGCAGCATTGCCAGGGAAGGCAGCAGCCTGCCCGCGGGACTGACCTGCTAAAGGTCCCGCGTGGGTTTTCTTGGCACTTTGGAACTCATTTCTGATGTAAGTGGAAGGAAAATATGCTTAAGCCCAGGACTTAACCCCCTGAGTTGAGCTTTGTTCTGGTTGAAATCAGCCCCCATGGAGCAGGGACGGGCAGGGGGCACCTCCCGGCTGCACAAGGGCACGGCAGGCACGGCACGGCAGGGCTGGGAGCAAGGCTGGGGGCATGGGGAGGAGAGTCCCATCCTGTCCCCCCCCCACACCCTAGAGACCCCTCCCCAGAGCTCTGCGGCCGTTTTCTGCCCCCTCTGACCCCAAACCCGGCTGTCTGCCCGGGACCTGCTGCCTGCTGCCACCAGGGTGCCTCCCCTCTGCGGGAGGGGTGCTCATTTCCCAGCTTACATTTGTATTCAGCCCCAACAGCCTGGCGGGTTGGAAGCTGTGCGCCACAAAAACATGTGCAGTAATTTTATATAAACAAGTTACCAAGCTGGAGTTTTACTGCAGCGGGTAAATACTGGGTCAGGCCCTCTCTCGGCAATGTCTCTCTCGCTGTAATTAATATTGATTTTGTGCAGCTGAAATATAGCTACAAAATTTAATTTTGCTGCTAAGATTTTTGACATCACTGTTCTTAGAGATTAATGTGGGATTTAATGAAGGATTTGGCCTCTCATCTGTGATGTTCCCTCATCCCGCAGTGTGCCACAGCCCCGCTCGGCCACAGCCTCCAGCCCTGTGGGCGGCGCGTGGCCCCGTGCCCACGAGCGCAGGGGACCAGGCCAGGGACACAGCCCCCATTTCACCGCGCTGCTTCAGAGGAGAAGGAGCTCGGGGCGGTGGGTGAGCCGGGCACGGGGCACAGCCCTGGCGTGGCACCTGGCCGTGCTGCGGGCAGGGATGGCTTCACTGCTGCCACCACAGCGCGGACGGTCGGTGGCTCTGCTCACCCCACAGTGGGATAGGGTGGGAAGAACCTGTCCTCAGCCCGGCACAAGGGGCGGTGGGTCCCGAGCTCTGACCCAAAATTAATGTCCTGTCTGGGCTGCAGGTCCAGTGAGGACAGCAGAGCACCACATGCAGGGGGGACATGGTCCTGTCAGCCCCCACTGTGCCTGGGATGGGGATTGGAGCCCCTCAGTCCTGTGAGGGCACCAGGCCAGCAGCCAGGCATGGAACAGCACGGCATGGCATGGCACGGCACAGCATGGCACGGCATGGTATGGCATGGCACGGTACAGCATGGCATGGCACGGCACGGCACAGCATGGCATGGCACGGCACGGCTAGGCAGGGCACCAAGGTGCTCCGGCCTTGGGAAAAGCAGTGCAACAGGCTGGCCCTCACACCTGGGGGCACGATGAAAAGAGCACAGGGTGGCACTCGTCCTGGCCACTGCCTCCAACTGCAAATATCAGATGGAACAAGGACCATGTGGCCGGAGCAGATTTTTCGCTTATCAAATCAAGGAGCAGCTGGATTAGAGGATTAGAAAAACCAAATTAATTACTAATGACTTCCCCGGGAGGTTTTGCCATGAGTCTCCGGGGCAGGCAGTGAGCTGTGCCCAGCCCTGGTGGGGGTATGGGCAGGGGCACACACGCTGCTGGCAGTGGGGCAGCTGTGAGGCCGGGTGAGGGGACCCGGCAGTACCTGTGCTGCCGGTGCGTTACAGCCAGCGGGGGGTGGAGGCTGGCCTCGGACTGCTGAGACAAAGCTGGGGCTGGGGGGAACCTGTTAGTGCAGACCCGCACCTCTGGCTCCCGGTTAGCACAAGCTGCAGAGTTTCCATGGGTGTATCTGAGCCGTGAGACCCCCCCGACACAGAGGGGGTCTGAGGTGGGGGCTTGCTGCAGGCAGAGCCCACTGTACTCCCGCTGCACGTGCTGCCCTCCCTGCCCTGGCCGTGCTGCTCCAGATCCCCAGGGGATTGTGCCCCGTGGGGCAATGTGCAGCTCAGGTGCCTGCCGCTGTCCCCGTGCGCCCCGCTGTGCCCCACGCTGTAACGATGTGCTCAGCTCCACCGCGAGATGCAGGAGCGAGAGGGGGCAGGCGGCTGGTTTGGTTTGCACAGTTAATTGATTCGGTAAACAAGAGCTCATAAACAACTGTTACTGTCCCCATTATCCAGGACAACCGGGCTGGTTTCCATCTGCTTCCTGACCTGGATATTAAATTGCAGCAGCTGATGAAAATATGTCAATGGGAAGAAAGTTTTCTTGGCTTGCCAGAGCCTTTTGCTTGGGCAGTGCAAGTGCCAGGCAGAAGGACAGAAGGACAGAAGGACAGAAGGACAGAAGGGCATCGTGGTGGAGCGAGCAGGGCTCAGTGCTGCAGGTGCCATGTCCCCCTGCTCCAGCCCATGCTGGAAGCGCAGATGCCCGGCCAGGGCCCCCTCACTGGGGCACCCACGCCAGGGCTGGAGCTGCTGGCGCAGCGCTGGGGACATCCATCAGGCCCTGGGCTGACAGCGCGGCCATCGACCCGCCTGTGTGCTGGGCGCCAGCAGGGAGGGCATTCCCGCAGTGGCGGGGAGTCTGGGGAGATGTCAGTCGATCAAAAAGCTGAAAGAACTCTTTAAACCAGATCAATCTCTGCCTCTCCCTGTCTCTGGGTGTGTGCTGGGTTGTATTTTTAACCACACACATCACAGCTCGCGGAGGAGCTCCCGGCGGACAGGAGAGGAGCAGGGGGCAGGGAGGCGATCCCAGCCAGCAGCAGTGCCTGAGGCTGCCCCTCGCCACAGCCCCCAGGCATCGCAGCACCCCAGAGCCGCTGTGACCGGCTGCTGCGTCCCTGGGGCATGGGATGTGGGAGTGGGAGGTGCAGGACAGGCACAGCTCTGCAGGGCAGCGCCAGCTCTCAGGGCTCACCGGGCCCCACGCAAGGCTGGTGGCACAGCGCTGCTGGGGCAGCCTGTCCCAGGCATGGGGACAGCCCCGTGGTGCAGCACAGCTGTGCCATGCTGTGCCATGCTGTGCCATGCTGTGCCATGCCGTGCTGTGCCGTGCTGTGCCGTGCCATGCTGTGCTGTGCCATGCCATGCCGTGCCATGCTGTGCCATGCCGTGCCATTCCATGGCAGAGCACCCTGGGAACACCCCCAGCTGCCAGGCAGCGCCCAGCCCGGTTCACTCGTTACACAGGGCTAATTGGTTTAAAAGAGATTGCTGGGTCACTAATTACAGAGCCTATTGAACGGCACGTCTCAGCTTAGGGATACAATTAAAAGTTCACCCTAATTAATCAGGGGTAATTAACAGACCTTGCATCTCTCTCAGATTAATTAATCAAGGAATCCAGAGCAAATCAATGCGGGCAGGAGGGAAGCCGAGGAGGGTGGGGGTGTTGCGGAGGCCACGGGCTGCCTGACCCACTTTGCTGGGCTGCGTCACCGCTCCCTTGTGCGTGCCCTGCCCTGTCCCTGCTGTGGGGCTGGGCCCATGACCTGGGTGCCACCAGTGACAGCAGCGTGATGGCACTGCCAGCATTGCGGCGTCTGGCGCCGTGGCAGCCTGCTGGGCACATGGGGGCAGCGGTACCCAGGTGAGAGCACGCCTGGGGGCACGGGGCCGGTGAGCACCGTGGTGTCCTCGGCTGAGGTCTGCTGTAGCCATGCCAATCGTTAACGGTGGTTTGGCTGCGACTGTTTTATCTCCAGCTCCCCAAGGAGAAGCATATTGAGATAATCCAGACAAAATGATAGATGTATATCGGTGTCTTGTGTATGGATCTGGCTCAGCGTTTGTAATATTTTGTTGCTAAGGAAGTCCTCGTTTGTGGTGTGATCGAGGACCCCATGCCAAGTCACGGAAATTGATGTGCTCATAGTGGGAAACTTAATCACCAGAGGGTAAATGCCCACCTCGTTTTTCTCATGAAAGAGAAACGCAGCGCTTTGATTTTTGGCTCCAGTATAAACAGGGTGTGATTAAATATTGTTTCCCCTCTCTTGCTTGTCATTAATCAGGATATAGCTGTGAGCGCTGGGTGTGATGTGGGGACACTTGCTTTGATTCCTCAAGTTCTTAAATGGTTTTGTTCTCTTTTCAATCCCATTAAAAATAGAAGGCAGGGTGTTTCAAAGTGCTCCTGATGGAGAGCTCCTCTGGTCCGAAGGACGTGTGCTTTCACAGGGAAAGGGGCTCTGCAGGCGGGCAAAGCCCCCGGCACCCGGCCACCCAGCGCCCTCCTGCCCCTCGCGCTGCCTCGAGGTGCTGCAGCACACCCGTGGCTCCGGCACGGCCTCGGGGCTGTGCCCACACTGGCCCTTGCTGCTCTGTGTGGGAAAGCCCTGGCTCCGGCAGCACTGTCCCAGCTGAGGGAATTAATCAGTGCTCAGCTCCTGTGGACAACGTGCTTCCCACGCAGGGGCACAGCCCTGCCCATGCCCCTGGGACCTCGTGGGGCTGGCGTAATTGGCTGCCTTGTCCCACAGCGAGCAGAGCCTCTCGTTCAGGCACATTCACTGCCCCTGAGCTCCTGGGGGCTGGGCTGGGAGCCAAAACCTGCAGCAGGGGCACCTCAGGGACAGAGCTTTCTGGCACCTGGAGAGGTTCTGCTCCCTGTTGCAGTGAGGAAGAAGAGGGCAAGCCTTGCTCCAACCAGTGCCAGAGGACACAACAGTGTCAGGACTGAGTGTACGTTACCCAATTCTCTACCCTCGGTGTGGATGGGGCAGTTTTCTTTTTATTTTCTGCTCTAAAGCACGCTTGCTCTAAGGCAAGGACAGGGTTATCAAGTTATAGATGAGCCAGGCTGAAGATGAGGCAACACTGGAACAAAGCTTTAAGAAAAAATGACTGGCCCGTGTTTGACTACAGATTCCTCACCTGGAGTTAAATGTGATTGTGAAGGTCTGTGAGCCAAAGAGAGATTTCCAGTTACTGGAGAACAAGCTCCTGCCCCGTGGTCCCCAAGGAGCAATAATGAGATTTACCCGAAGCAGCCACCGCGGCGAGCCCAGGAGAGCCTCATGCATGGTGGTGCAGTGACGAGGGGCAGCGGGTGGGTACGGGGTCCCTGCCTGCTGCAGTGCACAGATGAACTCTGCCGACTGCTTTGTTTTGTGCAGTGCTGGTGGTGCAGCCTCCCCGGGGCACGATGTGCTCACAGCCCCAGCAGGGCTGCCCAGAGCCCTCTGAACCAGGGAAGGGGCTCAGGCTCCTTCCAAAGGGTCCGAGGGGCGCTGGTGGGGCGAGGAGGAGCCAGCTGCCAGCGGGTGCCAGGACACAAGGGTTGCCCTCGCCCTCCGGCTCCCTGTCCCTGCCGGGTGGGTGCAGGCTGGGCACGGAGCCTCGGCCGCTGTGCTGCTGGGCACGGGGCTGGGACAGGCAGCTCGGCCCTGCCCACGCCCGGTTATGTTCTTTGCAGCGTCAGTGACAGATACGTAAGGATTAAATTGAAGTAATCTCTGTAATCTACTCAGCGAGATTAAAACCTCTCCCTGCCCCCCTCCTGTTTTTATCCCTTTCATTCCAGGACTCCGCCAGCAGTGATTGCAGCCCGGGGAAGCCATTTAGCTTTTAAGCACCCTTCCAGCCTGCTTAAAAATGCATTCAGAATCAAATGAGTTTGTGCAGCGGGGCCATGGCTGGCTGCTCTGGCTGGGTGAGAGGCTGAGAATTAGGACCAAAGTAGCTCGAGTCAGAGTCAAAATTAAATTTATTGTTTCTGACCTTATTTGGAGTACAGTGCATTTACAAGTGATTAATGAGGCTTACAGCAGTTTCAGGCTCAGTCGTGCTGCTTGGCGCAGCCTTTTGGACTCTCCTGTCCTTGGTGAGACCCCTCAGAGCCTGGGAACCTGCCTGCATGCACCGAGCTTGGCAGTGCTGGGCCAGAAGGGAGCCTGCAGGAGCCAGGACGGGCCTTTGGAAGCGGCGCTGAGGCCAGGACAGCCAAAATGGAACCGGCCTGGGGGTTCTGGAGCCAAAAATCAAAGTGCTGCATTTCTCGTTCATGGGAAAAATGAGGTGGGCATTTACCCTCTGGTGATTAAGTCTCCCACTATGAGCACATCCCCATCCTCTGTGCCACCGAGCCCCTGAATCCCACTGGGGCTGCTGCCCATGGGCTTGGCTCAGCTGCGTTCCTCTCCTCTGCCTCTGGGCTGCAGAGCCCTGCACCTCCCGTTCCAGCTCCAAGTTCCCCATCCAGACAGGGAGAACGGGGAGACGCCTGGGAGCAGCAGGCCATGTGGTGGAGGCTCCGTGCAGGCATTCAAGGACACTGCCAGCGCTGTGAGGCTGCAGCAGCTCAGCCCTGCCTGCCCCGTGGCACCGAACATCCCCTGTCCAGGTAGATGTACTGCTCAGCCATCAACTCCCAGCACAAGAAAAGGTGGCAGTTTGTCAGCCTGGAATCAAAAGGTTGTTAATGACATACATATTAGACACAGAAAACTGGATTAACAATGACACTTTGGCCCTGAGGGCTTTTTTTGGCTCTGGAAATAAATTCTACCCTTGATCTATTCTGCCTACAACCTGAAGACATCAAGGGTAGAATATCACCTTTAATCTTATTTGCTATTTCCAGTATGCATTTTATTGCTTCCCCCTCTTCCTATAGGTTTCACTTTCTTTGTGTATTTCAGTAATAACCTTCTATGATCTCTACATTGCTGCAGCCTTCTCTTTTGGCATGCCCGTCAGCGACCCGTGCTTGGGATGAGCCCTGGAAGGGGGGTTCCTTCTTACCTGCTGTCAGCTTGTGGCCTCTTCTGCTGGGGGGGTGGCAAGGAAAGGGGGCTGAGGGCTGAGGCTGGGCTCCGCATCCTTCCGGTGGGGTTTGAAATGCCCCACGAGTACTGCCCCCACGATCCCATGAGCTGGCACTGCTCTGTGCAAGGGGACAGCGAGGGGGAGGGAGGCATGCCAGGAACTCTCCTGGGGCAGTCTGACACCCGGGACCACGCAACAAAGGGCAACCAGCCTGGGAGAGACCTGGGAGGGACGGGACTGGGAATGAGGAGACTTAATGCAGGGCAAGGCAGAGAGGTCTTGAGCTGCTTTGGTAAATCCCAGCACAACAAGGGAGATCGGAGAGCCTGGGAGAAGTGAAGGAGGAAAGATGAGAAAGATCATATTGGAAAGACAGCCAGGAACAAAGGAGAGGCAAGGCGGAGAGCGAGCCATGCAAAGGGGCAAACAGATGGAGGGAAGACAAAGGCAAAAGGTGCAAGGCTGGCAGCCAACAGCAAGTGCCAGCTCAGCTCGGAAAGGGGCAAAGGCAAGGAGGAAGGGCTGGAGGCAGGACCTGCTGTGGTGCTCGTCCCCCCAGCACCACAGGGGGAGGCAGCACGGCATCTCCTGCAGCCCTCAGGGCTCCGTCTCCCTGCACACCAGGGCTGCCCCGCGGCACAGGGCCAGGGCTGCGGCCCCACCAGGGAGAGCAGGATCGGGGCCGACCCCCGGGGCTCCCACTGGCACAGGAGGCAGGGCGAGGGAGCGCTGAGAACACCAGAAAGCTGTTGTTTATGTGGAGCCGGGTGTAAACAGCAAGCATGTCATGGAAAAAACATGCCCTGCAAAGATAGAGAGACTGAAAGCAAAATTGTCAGCTTTACAAAACATTCCTCCCTTGCAAAGCAGAGAAACCTGGAGGTGTCTAGGCATCCACACCAGCTTTATTTATCCAGGCGCCTCTAATGTTCATGCCTAGGCAGTGTGTTTGCTGCCGAGGCTGGATCACCACGTGGAGGCAATAAAACGGCTAAAAATGGAAAAAGCAACTTTTCCACAGATTTCCTGTGGCAGTTTGTCATGGAGCGGAGCTGAGTGATTGATGCCTTCTGGCCCTGGAAAGGGAGCCCACCGGCGCCCAGCCCCTCGGTTCCCCTGCTCCGTGCTCCTGCCCCGCTGCCACCTCCCCGGGCCGAGGTGCTGAACCCACAGCAGGGGCTCCATCGGCTCCCTCCTCGCTCAGCACAGCACCAGCTCAGGCGGAAGGTGCCCAACCCAGAGAAGTACCAGGTGTGGGTGGGTTTACACCAGCCAGGAATAACCCAACGGCTGTTGACTCCTCCAGGCTGACACAGGATGTACGCTGCTGTTTTCCGCTGCGATCTGCACAGAGCTGCTGGTGTCCGAGCCTCTCTGCTCTGGCCCCTGGCAGAAGCTGCTATTGCACAGAGCACCAAACGCAGCACCCAGCACCCCAAATGCAAAGCTCCCGTGGGTCACTTCACCCTGCCAGGACGATGAGGTTGGCCCCACACGGGACCAACCCCCTCCGACTGTTCCAGAGCTCTCCTGATCCAGCAGACACTTGGTTCTGTAACTATTTTTACACTCCCAGCGAGGTCCAATTTTGTTGCTCCCACACAAGCACAGGCAAAAGAGGCTGCAGAGAGCACTGCTTTTCAGCAGCCTCCTCCATTTTTCTTTACATCTGCACTGAGTTCCTGGGTGCTGCACAAGAGGAAACCTCATCCCCACCCTGCTGCCAGGCAGCTCGCAGTATCCTTGTTTCTGCTGGGCTGCCACTTTTTGCCTGTCTCATTCTATTATCGTCCCTCTTCCCAAGTAACAAGACAAGTAGTTTTCTGCAGCTGAACAAGCTTTCTGTGCCGAGAAAGCAGGGGCAGTGACTCTTAATGTTTAAGTGGTGCTGCACACAGTCTTTTGGCTTAAGTGTGAGCAGCCAAGCAGAAGCCTGGGCTGGAAGGGTGCGAGAGGGAAGGAAGCGTGTCAAGTGGAGGGAGCCAGAGGACTGGGGACGAAGCAACAGTCTGCATCCATACCCTGCAACAACCGTGTGGTTCTCCTGGGTCAGCCTGCTTTTAGGCCATCATGATTTGGAGACTACGCGTCCCCAACCTGGCAGAGAAATGTACTTCTTGCATCTTGTTCTTCCAGCTGACGGCTGCTCCTTCTGCCCTCGCTGAGGCCAGAAATCACTGCCGCCGTGCGGGGCGGCCCCTCCTCGCTCCTGTCCCCTCCCTCGCAGTGCAAGCCGCGGGGCCGGGGCTGCTCAGGCGCCGGGAAGGAGGCTCGCCGGGAGCTGGAGGGACACCGCGCCTCGCTGCCAGCGCCTTCCCCAGCCCGCTGCCGGCTCTGCCCGCGCCTCGTGCTCCCGCAGCATCGAGCCCTGCCGTCCCTCGCCCCGGGCCCACCGCGACCCAGCGCCGAGCCGTGCTCCCGGCCGAGGCCCTGTGCTGCCGGCCCTGCCGAGGCGCGGTGCCCCCGTCCCTGCTCCGCCGGGAGGACGGGGCTGGAAGGGGGGCGCGGCGCTGCGGGACCCCCCCGCTGCCGGGGTCCGGCGGCTCGCACCGGGAGCGCGGCCGCTCCGCGCCCGGGCAGCGCAGGGCAGAGCCGGCGGGGCGGGACGGCCGCGGGCAGCCCCCGGCGCCGCTCCGGGTCCCGGCGCGGCGAGAGAGCGAGGCCGGTCCCGAGCCGGTCCCGGTGCCAGCCCCGGCCCCAGCCCCGGCCCCGCCGAGCGATCGCGGGGGCTCCGGGCGGCGCTGACGTCAGGCGGCCCCTTAAATAGCAGCGCCGCCGCCTCTGCCCCGGCACTTCCCGCGGAGGCAGAGCCGCCGCCGCCGCCGCCGTCCGGAGCGCCGCGCCCGCCGGGGATGGGAGCCGCGCCGCCGGGGCCAAGGGCGCGCGGGGGCCGGGGCGGCGGGGGCAGCCCCCCGGGGCGGCCCGGCCGCGCCGCCGCGTAGCCCCGGGCCATGCCGGAGCGGCCGCGCCGCCGGGCCCCGGGGGCAGCGCCTCGCCTGCGCCGCGCCGAGCCGCGCCGGGCCGGGCCGCACCATGCCCGCCGGGCCGGCCCCATGGAGCCATGGCGCGTAGGGCGCAGGGCGGGCGGGCCCTGGCTCCGTCCCGGCGGCTGGCGCGGAGGCTGCTGTTCGCGCTGACGCTGTCGCTGTCCTGCTCCTACCTGTGCTACAGCCTGCTCTGCTGCTGCGGCGGCCCCGCCGCGCCCCGCGCCCGCTGCGCGCCCGCCCGCAGCGCCGCCGCCGCCAAGAAACTTCTGCAGAAGTCGCGGCCGTGCGGCCGCCCGCCCGCAGAGCCCCCGGGCAGCGCCGCGCCCGCCCGCCGCCCCCGGGAGCCCCCCGCGCCGCCGGCCGGCAGCGCCCCGGGGCCGGGCCGCCCCGGCACCAAGCGGCTGCCCAGGGCCATCGTGGTGGGCGTCAAGAAGGGCGGCACCCGCGCCGTGCTGGAGTTCATCCGCGCGCACCCCGACGTGCGCGCCCTGGGCACCGAGCCCCACTTCTTCGACAGGAACTACGACCGCGGGCTCGAGTGGTACAGGTGAGGGCGGCGCCGCGGAACGGACCCGGACCCGGCCCCGCCGAGCGCCCGGCCCCGCGCACCCCGCCCGGCCCGCGGGGCCGAATCGCCACCGCGCTGCCCGGTGCCGCTGCCCGGTGCCCGGTGCCGGTGCCCGCGGCGGCGGGCGGGGACGGGTCCCTTGGCTGCGCCTGCCGCGGGTCGCGAGCCCTCCGGCGCCGCGCATCCCCGGAGCGCCCGCGGGCGCAGCGCACGGGGGAGGCTTGGCGCTGGCGGCCGCGCCGGGGAGGTTCCCTCCTCATCCTCACCGCCCTCCTGAAGGGCCGAGCAGGGCCGGGGGAGGCCGCTCCCCGCCCGTGCCCCAGCCGTGCGGCTCCCTCCCGCGAGGCTTCTGGAGCCCCCAGACCCGCATCCACCCTGTGGGTGCAAACGCCCCAGCCCCGTCCCTGCGGGCCCCCGGCGCTGGAGCCAGGACGGTGAAGCAGGTCTCCCACCCGTCGGAAGAAGCACCCGGCAGTGAGAAGGGGCGAGTCACAAGGCTGCGGGATGGCACAGTCACTGTCCCTGGTGCTGCAGCCCTGCTCAGGGTTCCTCAGAGCCCCTGCCCTCCCCCATCTCCTCTGTCTCAACTCAGACAAGTGAGTGTGTCTGCGATCCCTAATACTTTGCAGAGAGCAGTGAGTGCATCTGCAGCAGGAGATGGTAAGATTTTAATTTGAGTAAAGGCTTTTGAGGGCAGTTCAGCGGTGCTCAGAGAGGCAGCGAGCGCCATGCGTGGGCTCATCCCTGTGCTGTGGGCAGTGAGCTGGCCTCTGCCCGCAGTGTCCGGCCCAGTGTCCTGGCGTTTGTTTGCTGTGTGTTGTGACAAGTGCTGCGGGCGCTTTGGGTGCTCTCAGGCACAGCTGGGTGCTTGTGGGGTCATCGGGAAGCAGTGGAGGCTTTGTTAGCCCCCTGGTGCCTGTGAGCTTGCAGCAGGATGCCCAGCACAGGCAGAGCACTGGAGCTGGTTGTGGGAGGCAGCCCATGGGGCTGTGCACCCAGCTCTGCTCCCTTCCTCTCTCATGCACTTACTCCTGTCTCAGCAGTGGTTTTCCAACAGCGATGTGCCCTGTCCCCGGGCAGAGCAGTGCTCCTCGGCTGCCAAATGGGTTGGGATGCACCACGATGCAATGCTCACTTCCAGCTCTTCTGGGATCCCTGTATCTGTCTCCTTGCTGGCCAGACATGAGTCATGCCTGTGGCGTCAGGA